AAGTTTGGCTTGAGCTCTGGATGGAGAATCCAACATTTGTCAATGGTATGTCCACCATAGTTGCATTGTTTGCACTTCAGGTCAAACCTTCTACCCTTGTGTCTTTTATCATCCGAGAACTTATGGTTGGAAACATATGCCCTAGATTCATGCAAGCTGTTTTTGGTTTCAAGGTTCATCATTTTCCTTCGAGTTTCTTCACGTTGAATAATGGCACATATACTTGAGAAAGTAGGCAACTCACCGTTCATCAGAATGTGACTACTTTATATTTTGAGCTAAGACTCGCCAAAAGTTGAAAAATCTTATCTTCTTCAGCTCTCTTCAGAAGCAAGAAAGCGTATGTGGTGTGAGGCCTATATACATCAAGCTCATTCCACATACTCTTGATATCACCTACGTGTTGAACAAAAGACTTACTTTCTTGTTGCAAACCTGCAAACTCCCTTTTCAGTTGAAAAATTAGGGTAGCATTGTTTTGATTTCTATACATTTCGTAGACATTTTTCCAAAGATGGAAAGAAGACTCTGAGTAGCTGAACATTTCAGCTAGCTTCCTCTCCATGGAGTTGAGAAGCCATGACATGACAAGTTGATCCTTGCATAGCCATGTCTCATAAAAAAGGGATGAGATTTCAGGTGCCTAAATGGTTCCATTCACGTAACCAAGCTTTGATCTTCCACCGAGAGCAAGTGAAACTGCTCGAGACCATGGAAGATAGTTGAACTCATTCAGCAAAACTGAACTGAGTCTTTGATTTGGATTAACTTCTACTATGGTAGAATTTGAAGTGGGTGAAACACTAGAGCTCGTGGTATCAGGACTAGGAGGATTTTCCTCAGCCATTGGAACCGGCTATGGAAAAACAAAAGGGTTGAAGAAGATATGCAGAGATAGGCTACTGTGGTCACTGCTCTGATACCATATTGAATTTCAATGGTTTGTATATTGATCAGAAACATTTACAAAGAGAGATCCAAGCTCTTTAAGGAGCTAAAGAAACTGACTACAAAACGGTGGGCTTCAGCCACTACACAATCCCATGATTTCTGCCCTAACAATCGGACAAAACAAGGACTAAACAAAAACAATATACAAGGAAGGAAATCCCAGATTTTAGGGAAAGAAACATTGACAAATGACAAGTATGGTTAAATAAGAAATGAGATGACAAGTTGGAAGGTTGTAGTCATCACTTTAACCCATAACTTAGTTATAGTGATAATTACAACCCATACTTGTAAAGGTTGTAGTCATCACTTTAACCCATAACTTAGCTATAGTGATAATTACAACCCATACTTGTGATTTGATCTATTCCAACATTAATGAAGACGAGCATGACCCAGCTTGCGAAAAGTGGAGGAAGAGATAGGTGAAACAGCATATTGTTGCTTGATTAGCAGATTCAACAGGTAGTTTTTTATATTTGTCTTACTTTGTTTATCAAAGTTTTGCTTCCATTTGGATTAATTGTACGTTTCTTGCTAAATTTTAACTATGTTTTAATTTTTTTTAATATAGACAAATTTATTGAATTAAATGATTTATTATGTAATGCAAACACCAACCAGATTAAAAGGAAATTATCACAAAGTTTTAATCCATAATGTGTAATTTTTTTACCGATTTGTTTTTCCTCCTTCACATATTCAAAAATGGCTTTAAATGTCTCCTGTTGGAGAAGCCCTGAATTGGAGTTCTTTGTAGGGTTTTGTTTCAAGTAATTGGACGGTTAATGTATTTTATTTTGTAGGGCTTTGTTTCAAGCATCTGGACGGTTAGATGCATTAGGGTAGATGTGACAGCCCGTCCCAAAATATTACAACGTACGTGTGAAAAGACAAGTTTGCCCTTAGTTCGTTTTCTCTACGTTTTGTGGTTATTTTTGGTTGGTTGCTGGCTAATGGTGGACCACACATTTCCCTCACTATTTTCTCCCTTTCCCTGCATCTGTCCCGAGCCCCATTCCCTTCCCATTTCCTTTGAAACGTATGGACACACCCATAAACCTATCAAACCTCCACAGATCGAGGAAACCAAGCACATATTCAGACTCGTGAGGCTTGTAGGAGTCCAACCATACCCATTTCAGGTAAGAACACCTTCGTTTTCACGTCGATTACACGATGTCCGATTTGAGGTACTGTTCATGCACACGTGATTTCTCACGTTTTAGGGAATTTCAAGCTTGTAGGTAGCATGGTGAGGTCCCTAGGAGGCTCGGGGTGGTTCGTTTGATGGTTTTGGACGTCGGGATCACTAGTTTCGAAGTTGGCCGGAGTTGGGTTGATTTTTCAGGTGCGATTTTGTGGATTTTAGCCCTTGAAAGTGGTATGATTGTGTTCCTCTAGTTCTAAGCTTCATTTTGGTACCAATTTTGCGAAATTTGGATGAAAAATGAAGAAGTTATCAACGTTTGAAAAATTCCCGATTTTCCGACGCCGGCGACGACTCCGGAGGCTCGCCGGAGAAGACGACGGAATATTCCTGACGTCGTTGACAGAATCTGTTAAATCTGACCGAATATTCCCTACGGCATCAGTTGACGCCGTCAACGTGCCAAGCACGTGCCTGCGCGTGGCCGGCGCGTGCGGCGAGGAAAAATTATTTTAAAAATATGGGGATGTTCCTGAGGTTGAGTAGATCGCGTTGGTGTATTCATACACCCCATTTGAGCATTGTATGAGAAGTTATTTCTAAAGTTTGGTTATGTGCTTAAAAATTAATGTTTTTATAGTTATTTCGCATATAGGTGAGACGTATCCCGAGGACAAGCGTGGTCACTCGAGGCAGGGGGTTACGACCCTTTCACTTACCAGTGAGTGGGCTTTTGGTTTTCCGTATATACCTATATACATATATTTTCCCAGAAATTGATTTGAATTGTCATTTGCCATATGCCATGCATTAGATTATCGTTATTTATGCATTGTTAGTACATTGTTAGTTGTATATATATACTTATGCATGTTGGGTGCTGCGGACGCACAGGTAAGTGCCAGGTAAGTGTTATTTATGTTTACATTCAGTAGTGATTCGAGATGCTTAGAGAGCTCATAACCTGCACCCCCGGTGTTAGTGCTCCCGCCCAGAGTAGGGCACAGTCCTTCACGTGTTGTTCACCTCCCGCACCACACGCTCAGCTTGGATCCAAGTTAGGTGCACAGTCCTGTCGTACAGACCACTTTAGGTGGTTCCGACTCATAGGTGACCCGCGATTATTCGCACAGCCTTCACGTGATCGTAGCACTAGAGCGTTTATGTGCATTACACCCAGGCCTGTCGTACAAACCACTTTAGGTGGTTCCGACTCGTGGGCAGGTTTAGTTATTGAGATCGAGATTTGAGCTCTAGATGCAGCCGTACAGGTCACGTTAGGTGACTCCGGCTGCCAGACTTTATGATATTGATATAATTTTCACCTGAGCACTTGGATTTCATTGTGAGATTTGGCATGGCATATATTGAAGCATGATTGATATATTTATATATATATATATGTACATATGTTTATTTTCTAGGAAGTATACAGGTTTTACGGCGAGGGGTTAGAACTTAATTGTGAAATGGTTTTCGAAAAGCTTTGTTTTTGCCCACTCACGCTTTTGTTTTGCGCCCCTCCAGGTTCTAGCTGTCTAGCAGGTTTGGTGGTTTCCCAGAGGGCTTTCCCGGCATTTCTGACAGATGATCACCAGTGTAGGGTCACCTTCGGGTGTATTGTTGTCGCGTCATTTTCGTTTGGACTGTTTTAGGCGTTATGCTCTGAACTTGTGTCTCACTTACGCTAGCACTTATTTCTATTACCTTATGTATGCTAGTTTTTATTTATTCGTACTTTTTCTAATATTGTTTTATTAGCTTCCGCACTGTGCACATGGTTACGTCACCTCCACGTGATGGCCAGCACGCCCCGATCTGAATCGGGTGTGTCAGTAGATGCACGATAAACAAACCATGAAGCATGAAGCAATTCTTGAATAGACTAACGTATGTAATTATATTTGAAAAGAATTTGTATTTTGATTGCATACAATGTGAAGCAGCAAAAAAGAATATGTCGTTTCACGAGGAACCATTAATTCACCAAGGATTTGAAGCAGCAAAAAAGGATACAGAATGCACCAAAGCATCTCGAGGACTTTTATTGCAAACAATGTGAGCCTTTCTTCGTTGGTTGATGTATGCTATTTTTTATATGCTAGCTTTTTCATGTGATTTTGTTGTTCAATCTATTCAATTGGGGTGGTTTTTTCCTTTTCTTTACAGACTATTTGATTTGTATCATTGTTAGTTTTAATAGGCACAAGAAACCTATGACTGGCATTCTACCATTTTTTTTAAATAATCTAAATTATGCTTTTACGTGTAGAATATAATATGAGAGGCAGATAAATGTGAAAAATTGCTACCAGTAGAAAATAAAAGAAGAAATCAATAGAGAAATTACACATTATGGATTAATCTAAAGTAAAAATAGAGGGAGTTAGAGCTAGATTACAAATAAACATTAGATATTTAAAAGATTTTAGGGCCATGCAGCGCCCGTGATAAATAAAAGCCTAACAAAGGAAGAAATCAGTAGATAAATTACACATTATGGAATAATCTAAAGTAAAAGATAGAAGAACTTTGAGCAAGAAACTATGTACATCACGCGTAGCGCGCGTGTTGTAAAAAAGGACTTTTGCACTCGCAAGGCATGAAGAACACCTATGAATTGTTTTTGTAGTAAAAATGTTCTTACGTATGCATAGATGTGAAAGGAAAAAAAAAACTCTGAATGCCACGTGTAACGCGTTGTGATGTAAAAAAGACATTTCGCACACTCAAGGCGCATTCAAAAAAGTTAGTATATATAATTTGTGAGTGTCCAAAGATGAAAATTGGGTGTACACAAAACCATTCTTTGAGTAGGCCTTTTTAATGAATGGGCTTATCAAACGCACTCAAATTGTGAATCCACAGCACACAGGCCCAAGCCTGACCTAAAACCCAAACCCTAGCTGATTAAAGAAGCTCATCCTCTACTCGACCATTTTCCCTGTCTGCCGTTCCCTCGTGTTCAGCTCAAGCTCTCCCGTTCTCGTCTGAAACTCCATCCTCCGCCGCTGGATCAGTGTTCACCTCTCTCACATCTCTGCCACTTCCCGCCGTCGTTGGTTTCTTATCTTTTGCATTTCATCTGCTGCTTACTGTAAAAAACGAATCAATATAATTTTATTGCTAATTCTTTGATTTGTTCCTCTTTTTTATTAAGAGTTAATCTCGATTATTTGGTTGGGAATGTGAATCGAAATAAAAAATTACGAATTTGTATTTCTTCTTTTATTTATTATTTTCAATTGTGTTTATACAGAACCATGGCAGCCGCCGCTATAGCTGCTCCTGTTGCGGTCGAACCAACGGAACCTCACTATGACGTGAAGCTGTTCAACCGCTGGAGCTTCGACGATGTCCAGGTTTCTGGATTTTATTATTTATTTCTACTTTTTTGATATCTCTGATGAATTAGATGACATGAGGTCAAGTTTGGTTGGATTTTAGTGCTTCAACCTGAATTTTTCGAGCATTTAGATTCTGTTTTAGAGTAAATTGATGGTTGGCTAGCAGTGGAGGATTTGCCCACCTGCATTTCCTTGTTTGGTAGTCGTACATAACACAACGTATTTGTGGCTCAACCTCAATGTGTATTTGGATTTCATCTTATAAATTTTTAAACATCCACGCGACCTCCTTGTCTGACCTTCTTGTTTTAAGAGCATCTTCAGTGGAGTCCCTAAATAGGAGCAACCAACGTATAAAATGAGTATAAAACAAATATATGGACAATATGAATCTTCAATGGACCGGACTCACGTATGTTTTCACATATAGATGTACAGGGGCAAACTTGAGTGGAAAACAGGACCGACAATCTTGATTGAAGCTTTAATGCTTTTAATTAATTAAAAAAGGTTAATATAAACAAAAAAATGTGCATATTGAGTAGAAAACGGGGCCCACAATCTTGATTGAAGATTTTAATGTTTTTAATTAATTAAAAAAAATCTTAACATAAAAAAAATAAAAAATGTGCACCTAATCAAATTATCACCTAAAATCATAAAAACTTCAAATTTAGGAATTCTACTATAAGGACTCTCTCATTGGAGGCAATATTCCTTTAGGGACACAAAGATTTCCTCCTTTAAGTCCTTAAATGTGACTCAAAAGTGGTGTTGGGAAGATGCTCTAAATTCACCGTAGGCGTAACTAAGTTGGCTCATGCTTATTGTTTGTATTATTATTGTTTTTTGTACTTGTTTACAGTACTGGCTATAACGCATATGGACTAACTTGTTATAAGATTGTTCATAACATCTACTTCCTGTATATACTTGAAATAATAACGTATAATTTGCAACATGTAGGTCAGTGACATTTCACTGGCGGACTATGTTGGAGTGGTGCCTGCCAGGCATGCAACTTACGTACCTCACACTGCTGGGAGATACTCAGTGAAGCGATTCAGGAAAGCTCAGTGCCCAATTGTGGAGAGGCTTACAAACTCACTCATGATGCATGGAAGAAACAACGGAAAGAAATTGATGGCTGTCAGGATTATTAGGCATGCAATGGAAATTATCCATTTGCTGACTGATCTTAACCCAGTCCAAGTTATTGTTGATGCTGTCGTTAACAGGTACATTGACATGGATATGTTAATGTCTTTCGCATAGTAATAACATATTTTTCCTTCTGCTTAGGCCCTTGTTTGATGATTGAGGGGAAGCTCAAGTGGCCTTTAATATAGTGTTCCCTGTTTAATTCCTTAAATTGATCAAGCAATTCTTTTTCCTTCTATTGTATGTCTTATTTGTATTTCTTATGTTTTCTGATCAGTGGTCCACGTGAAGATGCAACCCGTATTGGATCTGCTGGAGTGGTTAGGCGTCAAGCTGTGGATATCTCACCTTTGAGACGTGTGAATCAGGCTATCTATCTCCTCACAACCGGTGCTCGTGAGTCTGCTTTTAGAAACGTCAAAACTATCGCAGAATGTTTGGCTGATGAACTTATCAACGCTGCAAAAGGTTCCTCTAACAGGTACTTGTACCTTGCTTTCTATGCCCTTGTTATTTTCTCCTAAAGCTCTTTTATCTGAGTTTATTTCCATCGTTGTTACGCAGTCTGATTTCATTTCTTTCCCGTGATTCATTGTTTCTTTTCTAACAATTGGTGGTGTCTTGTGTGCAGTTATGCAATCAAGAAGAAGGATGAGATAGAAAGAGTTGCAAAGGCCAACCGTTAAGTGGCTGCAAGAAACCGTGATGCGATGAGGAAATTGGTCTCTGCGTGTTGTTTAGAAGATGTCGGATTTACCCCTTCTTTTGTCTCTGCAACAAGGAGAATTTTGTCTGCGTCAGGGGGAAAATGAAAACAATCTTATAAAAGGATATTTGAGGAAGAAATTAAGGGCAGTAAATTGTTATAATCGTGGACATTCAACCATGAATTTCAATAAAACACGCATGGACCTATATGGACTAATTTACTATCTTGATGTGAATAATCATAGTTATCCCCTTCAATGGTTACTAACCCTTTCTGCAATGCTTCTGGGATGAGTTGCACAGCCTCGCTTAGCACGGATTTTGCATGGAACAGAATCTTCAGGGATGTGTAGTAGCTTCTATACAGTTGCCATTTCTAAAGATGTCTGAGGAAGGCTAAACTGAAATGGACAATGAATCAACTGTTACTAAACAGAACAATGGCAACTCTAAGAACCATGCACGCGAAATGGATTTCGATTTTAATGTACCTGGGATTCTAAAGAACTGAGGCAGTTAAACATGTCACCGCCCATATTTTTAGCTCGTTTACTTGGTGGAGCTGAAAACACAATCGAATTGATATTATCCCAGGATTCCATCCCAAAGCTAGTGCCGGAATAAGAATGCATGGCACTATGGTGGCTGTTGTTAGAGCTACCACCTTCAACAGCATTTTCACTTACTTCAGAGATTTGAGAAAGAGAATCTTGCCCAGTAAAGCTCAACTGAGACTTTAATCTTGTTACTCTGTGACCACCATCACTGCTCCCTTGTGAGCTATAGCTTCCAGTTCCTCTTGTAACTGAGAATCCTCCAGTTCACATCGTAATGAAAGATCATTGTAGAAACACTCTGCTTACTGATCTTTGTTTTTTACGATAAATTTATAATGTTTGATCGATTAGCATTTTTTGTTAATAATAATAAAATTAGCAACAATAATGTACCTCTTATTTCTTATGAATAACAATGTACCTGGTTTTTCTTTTTCATGACAACTAATGTTTGATTCCTTGTTTTTTGACAAGTAATTAAAGCACATATATCTTGTACACAACCTGTCAACCACGTTTCACAAACCTATATCTCATGAAATTTTCCAAATACTTCCACATCAACTAATTTCATCAACCCACTTGCATAATTAACCATAAACACTAAAAAAAGGTACACCACACATGCACAACAAAATAATTTTCTAGGGTTTAGTTTCCGAAATCAAGTTTGCCGTCAACTTTTGCGGAAGCAACGACTCTGAACCCAGTCCAATCAAGGAACACCGGATTTTTTTCGTGTAAGCAACTGCTAACCCTCAAACCAAAGATGCTTGAATGTCTAAGTGCATTGAGCCTGAAGACAACAACCATAACAATACTCTGACTGGGTTTCGAACAACAATGAACTTTTCAAACCCAACCAAAGTTTTGAATGAGCACGATGTCGGGGTGAGAAGGAGATTTTTTGGAGGAGAAGAAAATTTTCTGGTTTCAACTGTTGATGTCGTGGGAGGGAGGGGAGAGTTTAATTCCCTATTTTTTGAACTCTCGCTAATACTGTTTTCATTAACTCACGGGTCTTTTTTAACCCAGTTTCACGCTAAACCTTTTCTAATAGATTTGTTTTCAGCTGTTCAAATTTAATCCTACAGTCCACATTTCGTCCACACACACCGTTTCCAAACCTTTGTCCACACCTTAGAAATTGCGGTCTATTAAAAAAAAGCAGCTAAAGATTCCCGTACACATGATTTTACATATACGTTGGGCTGAAGTCAAGATAGGCATTGATGATTGAGCCTTACTCTCTTGGGCTCAGCAGGCCTAAGGTAGGTCCAAAATAAATAGGACAATGACCTTGTGCTACAACATGAAGGAAAGAATTAGTGGTATATTAAAATACTTTTTGATTTTTTTGGACTCGGGAAAATAAAGACACCTCTTTTGGCTACCTTCCTCGCTTGGAGATTTGGAGAGACTCCCGTTATATGCTACTAACACTTTGGCACTCCGAAGTTCCATGATTATTAAGTGACTTGGATTTTACAAGTCTCAAATCGAGAAGCTTTCTTCTGTTGAGAACTTGGGAGAGTACTGTTTGTACCATACTTCACCAAACCCGAACAACTGAGCACCGATCAACTAAGAATCTTTGAGACCTATTGAATGGTTTGTACATAGATACCCCTGCCGAAGCACATGAGTTCCTCTCCATTCAAGAGACCAGTCACAATGCGACACATGTCAACCCCAAAATAAAGATCCTAAAGTCCCATATCGACCGTGAATAAAAACAAGGGACTATTCTCAACTATAAAAGGAGATCATTCTCCCATAGTCAATCCATTCTACTTAATCAATTATTAGAACTCACTAATGATGATTATACTTAAAACCTTTGTTTCATGTAAACTTTACATTATTAATGAGAACTCTTCTACCCTTGTGGATGTAGCCCAACTAAGGGAGAACCACATATCCTTATCTCTACCTCTTAACATGTTATCTACACTTAGTTACCAAATCAACCTTGCGAATGTCACATTGACACTTTACGTTGTTCCAAAGTCAACCTAGTTTTGTGCATCAACATAGACTATTTCTTATAGAGAATCACTATGTAGAGGTTTTACTATCATAATAATATCTAAATCAAAACCCTATGTTTTGTGGTTTTGTTTTTTTTTTTTTTTTTGTGGGGGGGTGGGGGGGGGGGGGGGGTTGGGGTGGGGATGTGGTGTGAGTGATTCCTAAGTCATGGGATTGAAAACCAAATTATAAAGGAAAATATCACAAAATGTTAGATAGGAGGGATAATTAAGAAAATACATCATATGGCCATTATAAAGACATATGTGAGAGATTATTTAATCTCTCAATGAAAGGTATCATTTACAAATCTGTCTATGCCTTTTTAATGCTATATAGTTGATAGGATTTTTACCATCTGCATAAATAGGGATAAAAATACTTAAAATACTTGCAAGAGAATAAGGGTAAGGTCATTTCCACAAGGATTGAATGAATAATTTGTATTTAAACTAATTCTTGATTAATTACTTGAAACAAGATTTTGAAAAGGGTTGATATTGTGATTTAAAATATTAAAAATGAATTTAAAGTAAAACAATTAAATAAATCAACTAGAAAACAATTTTAAGGAGATACTAGGGTTCTACCGTCAATATACCAATTCTACATAGTTCTCTCAATCACTTATGAATTACTCATGCAAATTTTGAAGGTTAGGTTTTCGTAATATATGTCCTACTTTGAATCTCCAACATAGAACGTATATCTAATATGCAACCCGTCTGGATATTTGGATCAAATATGAACTTGAAAGACTAATTAAATTTTATGAAAACCCTTTGAAAAACCATGCAATCCTTAAGACATGGTGTTCATCCTAAGTCAAATTACAATTATTAACCACAAGTAGCCAGGGCCAATTTCAGGGAACGTTCCGACCAAAATTGCATCAAATTAATTTTCTAAACATCTTAATGGTCGCGAATCAATAAGACACTTAGATAGTTTAAAATGCTGATTAATAATTCAAAACATACATACATAATGTCATAAGTAAATTGAAAAGAAACTACATACTCTACCTAAGGCTCAAGGCTTCACCCTAGCAAAAAAGACTAGTTACGAACAATCATAAAACAAAATATTATTAATAATAAGAATAGAAAACACCTAGAAAATAAACTTCAATCGTCAAAAGCTCTCTAAATTAGTGCAGTGCCCTTTCTAAAACCCTAATGGCTAAATAGCCTTATTTATATTATTACAAAATAAAACCCTACATAGAAAATGTCTTAGAATAAAACTTGGAAACAAAATAAATTAAGATAAACTAGGAAACAATCTCCTAGTCAAACATGGAGAAATCCGCCATCTAACCAATCTGCCACGTTTTATACCTAAATCTCCTCCAAATCCAGTCCATGATAGTTTGTTTTAAGGATTAGAATAATCTGAACACATCTCCAAAAGGGGCCGAATCCAAAATAGGCCATCTTGGGCTCCAAAACTCGCAATCAAGCCCCAAAACGTCATTTTCAAGCACCGCACACTGCTTATTTATTCTATTGCCATAACTGCTTGGTGGAAAAATCTAATATTTTGACACGATCAAGCTAAGTGACTCACGATTCATCCATTTGATCACGTTTGGCCCTAGAGGAAATCGAAAGTTCTACATTAAACATATAAATCAAAGTATCAAAATTCTTCCAAAATAATAACCAAAATAAACTAATATTAGGGTAAAATATGTAATATAATATTGACTCATCAATAGTGAATTTCCTAGTCCCTCATATATAAAATTTTGTATCTTTTATTTTATTATTTGGCTTTCAATCCTAGGATTTGGAAATTACTCATCCAAACATAACCTAAATGATGAATACGAGCCTCAGTCACACAAGGGTATAACTTGGGTGGATCTAATACACCACCCGGTGTACAACTACACCCAACAATTTTCCATGTGTACATAAGTTTTGAAAATAATCGTTGGGGTTTGCTAATTTGTGCTGGAAATATAATGAAAGTGTATGGGAGAAAGAATTGATGAACAAGGGTGGTGCAAGGGAAGGGAAAAAAACTAAACAAGAACGAATGAAAACAAAATATTAAAAGTGAAAAGTGACGAGTCAATTTCATATTATATATTTTATCCTATTCTTAGTATGTTTTGGTAATTATTTTGGTAGAATTTTGATACTTTGCTTTATATTTTCAATATTGAACATTTGACTTCCTCTGGGGCAAAACGTGATCAAATAGATGAATTTTGGAGTGATTCAAATTGAAGGACGTTCATGTGTCCCTTGGCGTATTCGTCAAAATTTGGAATTTTTCTACCAAACAATTATTTTCTAGCGATGGATTAAAGAAGCAGTGCGCTATGCTGGAAAGTGACGTTTCTGAGCTTAATTGCGATTTTTGGAGCCCAAGATGACATCTGATGGGTTTGTGGCCTTATGGAGAAGTGTTCAAAATATTCCAAGGCTTAAAACTAGCTATTTTGGGCTGGTTTTGGAACATATATGGGTCCAAAACGTGGCTGTGCATATTTTAGGTGAATCTTATCATTTAATTTAGGGTTATGTTTTCTATTTTATTTTAATTATTTGGTTTCCTAGTCTTATTGGACAACCTTTTCTTAGGAGGATTTAATTTTTAGTAGGAAAAATAAGCTTGGCTGGCCC